AAGTAGTAATAAAGCAGACTTCGGCAATTATACCATACTAATCAGGCTTTTGTATAACTACAGGCCAGGAACTAAATATAAAAAACCCTCTGCCTAAATTCAGAAGGTATAATACAAGTTTTCTGTTGTAGAAAAGTATGGTTTAAATGTCATTGAAAGCGTAGTCTTTGTTACTGTCTAGATCCAAACAAACTCCAGCATGTGCCATAATAATGATAATAATACTTTTCATATTAGTATTTTGAAGTTTCTCAACTCTTGTACCAGCTTTCTCTATGGAATAAACTTGCCTAACACAAACAACTGTAAGAGCTGGAACCAAGTTATACGTAGAGCTATTTATGGTACATGTAGTTTCCTTATGCCTTTATGTTTTGTCACAGTTCACACAGGCACACTTCACAATTTCGATCAGAACCTCGGTGAGTTAGTCACGTCCTGAAGTCCCAAAAGAAACTTGCCCTTTATTGTGCTTTACTCTCTGAACTTTGAAACTTTGTGCAGTTTCTTTTCCTGCATTCAGGAATTATTTAAATGTTATTTATATTGTATGCATTTTTCATTCATGTATTTTAAATAAAACTACTTCTATATAGTCTGATTGACTTAGCCTTTAGTAGATAGGGCTTAGCCCTATCCATGAATATGTTTTGAATATTTTTTTAGTAATGACTTGATGGGTGTACATACCCATTCTATCAGTATGTTGTTTCATGTGTTTGTCAACTGAAGAGAAAAATTGATACCAGTAACAGATGTTCCCTGCCTCCTGCCTTATTAACAGATTGGCTGGATTGCATTGTCTCTGTACTACCTCCCCAATATATGAATCTGTATGACCTTTTCTTGGAAACTTCTCGCTCTGGTAGCTGAAAATACTGTCAGCAAGTTTTAGGAAATCAGTATTTTTATTACTTTACATAATAACCCTACTAAAAGCAGCATGGATTTTAATCTATTAACAATTTTTTATTTATTAGTGCTTAATAGATGAACAGCTATGTTATAAGAAGCAATTGTACTGCCTCTCATTTGGGACAGAAATCTCACTTCTGTGGGAAAGTCCAAAAAACATCAGTGTTCACATGTAAGTAACTTCATATCTCTGAAAAAATAGAGGTGTTTCAGACAAGGTCTTCATTTAATGCAGGCAGTCTCTCGTAGAAGATAAATGGTGGATTTTGTCTTGTGCCAGCAGTGATTTGTAAGAGGGGAAAAATAGCAATGAATTCTAAGTGCGATCGGTGACTTCAAGCTCGGTATTCATGCATAAAATACCTTAGCAGCTCCTGTGGTTGGTAGCAATCTTCGTGATCTGTCTTACTTAGCACCTGCACATTAAATGTATGGATTACTTTTTTCCCCTAGGCTACATGAAGCAAGACAGTGGATACGACAGCTGGAGCCTGCTCAAGGTTGCAATTTGCTGAAAGCCTTAAAACACATTCTAACAGTGAAAGAACTGAATTCTCTGGTTCTTGTTGTAGGAAGCTGGTAAGGTTGTTATCGATCCTAAAAAGCAGCTTTAACCTCAATACAGAATTGCTACAAGAATCTGAACTTGCTACAAAATAAACAGAAGATTTAAGATCCAGGTTTTATGTATTTTTAGTCCATAGCACTGAATTAATTTATTTCTTCTGTTTTTTACTATTTATAAATCTCTTTTCTGATACAAAGCTGTTTTTTCTTAGCCAGATTAGTTACTGCAGCAATCCTGTGAGAGTCTGCTAGCTCTGATGTCACATTAATAAAAATCCTTTAGCATCATTAAGGATGTCACTGAAAGAGTCCACACCTCTAGGAAGATTAGATGATGAGTTAAATTTTGCTGTAAAACAGCATTAAGCATTCAAAGACAGTATGATCTTGTGATCTGTGCCAACTGAATATTTAAAATGTCTAACTAAATAGATTAAACCAGACTGAGATTAGATGAATTATGGATTTAAATTCTACAGTTCTACTGTCACATTTGGAAGCTTGTAGTGGTACAGTCAAGATTGCAAGAAAAGACTACAACAAGGATTCTCAGAGTCTTACCATACTCCTGATTTATTCTATGTATTTATTTTAACTGTGCAAAAAAGGGATGGTATAAGCTTGGCAAGCTTGCTGTTAGAGTGATCGAGATTACATTTCAGCTAATTTACTGAACAGACAAGTGTTCAGTTGAAAGGTTCGAGGTTTAGCTTAGGTCTGCTTTGACAGAAGGCAGAAATTTTTAGTATATGCAAGTGAAAACTTCCTTAATTTCTGTCCCTTGAATTGTAGCTGGAAGGAAGGGCTTTTACTAGCCATGAAGAACCATCAAAACTCAGAGATGAAAAGCTGTGTGGGTTACCAAGTTCTAAACACAAAGCAAAGTTTTACTTTCTTTGGTGCCTTTGAGAGGTGATAATCATCCCTGCATACGTTTGAAGATCTGAGTTGAAAACTCTTCTGTCACAGTTTGTCATGGGATGCAACCACAATTCCTGATTTTTTTAGCTTCCAGGGCTTGCAAGGAATAATTTAGAACATTTTGTGTACAAGCTGTTAAGCGCTGCAATAGAATCTTAGAGCTTTTATTTTAATTCAAGTTTTCAGGACAGAACTAAACCCCAGTAGTGATATGTCAGTGACTGTTGATAGCAGGAGAGGAGGTCGAGTTATGCTAAATGACTGGATTACATTCACATGACTTGTTATTTCATTCCCCCTTTAGTTTTTTTCCATGTCTTCTTCCTTATGGCCTTTCCTCCTCCCCATTTGATTACTGCCATTGTTTATATATTTTTTCCCATTTATTTATTTGTTTGTTCATTTATATCAGCCCTGATCAGTCTTTGGAAATATTGTCTGACTACACTCAGCAGTGTATGCTGGGGAGAAAATTGCAGACTCATGCGATTATATATGATTGCAGCAATCCTTCTTCTGTTGTAAGTCACTGTGTTAATTTTTACTTTCTTAAGTGTCTTGAGATTTCAACTGTAATGTCCTCTCATAAACTTGTGGGAAAGCTAGCATATTCGTGAGAGAGTTCTCAATCTAGAGTTGTATTTTCTTTAGAGCAGATTTGCACCCATAAAAAAATTTTGTTTGGGTCATTCATCTTAGTCCATACCAAAGACAGAAGTGGCAACCAGGTGGTGTTGACTGGCCTGACAGCTGAAGGGGAAGCATTTATTTCCAGATAATCATCCTGTGTTTTCAGAGAAGACTTTGAGGCTAAGAGCTCTTTTGCAGGTGAAAATAGAACAAGGGACTTGGGGGAGGCAATATTGCAGTAAGCACAAGTGGGTAGGGAGAGGGATCGTAGGAGAGAGGCAGGGACTTGGGAGTGAGGTCATATGAGTACAGCGGTCTCTGGGATAGGAATACTTTGGTATGGAGTAGCATCAGTGCAAGACCTAGCAGCCTTGCTCAGGTTAGAATGTTGATCATGAGCAATGGTTTGGAGAGGAGGCCAGAAGGACAAGCAGTTGATTTTTATTAGCTTCTGCATAGAAACTTGGCTTTAGGTATTGATTCCTTGTTTAAGTTTATCCCTAAGGCATGTAGTGACTTAAGTGGCATGGAGGACATGGCCAAAATCCTGTTTTGAAGGGAAATTGGAAGTAATAAAGGTTATTGCAGTTGTGGGGAAAAGGATTGCAGTAATAGGAGAGGCGATGGGAGTGGGGGAAAAAGCAGCAAAGGATTTAGGAGGTAATCGTGGGCAGGGAAAGGATAGCCTAGTACTTGTAGGCTTCAGTGATACGCCTTTGATCTGACTAGCACAAGTCTGCCTTCAAAGGAGGAGTGACGCATTTTAGCACAGCGTGAAATGAACTTGACCCTTATTGCCTATTTTGTAAATTTCTTTACTGAATTAGCTTTTCAAATGTATTAAAGTAAGACTGGTAAGAAACAATGGAAATATAATTACTTTGGCTTGTTCACTTCATGTACTTTGAAGATTCCTTTTCTATCTCTGAGAATTGAATACCAACAACCCAGCTTGTTAAAAGAGACTGCCAAATCTAAGTACCTATTTTCCTTCCTATTTATATGTGTAGACAGTTCTGAAGAACCTCACAGAAGCTCTAAGAGGCCGTTATCATTGCTACTCTTCAAAGGGAGAGGTAGGTGACAGCTAGAGAGGCAACACGTTTTTCCCTCTTTTTGATGATTCTTTACATTTAGAAGGTAAACTAATTATCATCTGAGTAGAATTTTTTAGCAAGACCTGATGCTGAAAGCCTCTGTCATAGAAGTGCTGAGGCAATAAACCTTTGGTTAATTCTTTCTGCAACTGAAAATGCTTTCCTAAAAGCACAATAAATTTTTCAGATACTGTTCACTGACTTAAAATTGATGAATAGAATGGAAGCAGTGACTTATTGTAGACTGATTCAAAACAATAAAATAATATTTTGTTTATAAAATTATGAATAACTTATGTGCTATGCCAGGCAAAGTAAGAAAGCTGTGTTTGGTTGGTATTGGACTAGTAGTTAATTTATTTTTCCACCTTTGTTTCTATATGTACAGAATTTTGATAGTAGTGATATCCATCTTCTACTTCAGGAATCCCAGAAGGCAAAGGAATTACTCAGAAGCATCAAAGAGACTTTCCAAAGAGGAATTCATGGCTCACTTATAAGTAGAATAGCAGATGTATGTATCTTTTTATTTTCGAAGTATTTCGAAGTATTGAGGTAGAAGTTTTTAGTGTTAACAATATGAAAAAAAATTGTTTCATAAGTATTTCGATAAGTGATCTTTGAATATTATGCATTTGCCATCTGTTGTAAGAGCAAATTAAAGTCAAAAACAGTAAACATTTTGCTAGACATTCTTCAATACACAGCAAGTTTTCTAAACCAATGAAAATGAGATTAAAAGAACATTGTACTGTGATCATAATGTAAATTTAAGAGAATTACTAGTCTATCGTATATGCATAATCATTTAAATGAAGTTCCAGCAGTTCTTTAGGAAAGAAGATACTTTTTCCTATCTGGTTAACGTGGACACTTAAATCAGTTGCAAAATCATAAGGGCCATTACTAGTGTTGAAGTTAGGAAGCTACAGTTTCCCTCTTACACATCTGTCTCTGTGTTGGTCCTATCTTATTGGCACCATTTGTTCTGTAACAATTGTCTTGGTAATGTTTCTATTCTTATAACTTATTTGACCAACATACCAGAGGTTTTTACCTTGTTTGTCTTTTCTCCAATAAAGTAACTTCTAAGTGCTCCTGTTAAAATATGGATGAGGAAGAAGAAGAATCTCCTGTGATTTTTCTTTTTTTTGTGGATAATTTCTAGTTCTGCTTTGATCTGGTAGACAGATGATATACTCATGTCTTTATTTTACCTTGTGCAGATAGTTTTAAGTGGAAATGCACATCTCGCTCTATAATTTGGAGAGGCCTGGAAGTTTAGAAAATAGCTGAATTCACCTACGGTTACTAAATTTAATGTGAAAAATTTGGCAGCACTGTTTTACAAATCTGTGAGGAAGACTTTTGTTAACTAAATAGTTTGTTCTTTGTCACAGCTACTGTAGGCAGTTGTGTGAGGTGGACAAATCTGATCTGAAAGACAGACCAAAGGCTTTCCTTGTGTATCTTTCCTTGTGTATCTGGTCATCTGACCCGAGACTTTCCAGACAGGAGGCAAACTGGTCATTTGTGAATAGTATTTTTAATCCTGTTTCCCTTCATGTTCTCTATTCCATATATACAGAGTTCTTTCATCTCTCTTCCAATCTCGTAATTACGAAGGACCATGTAAACTACATACACAAATGGAGAAGTCACCTTGAAATGATTTAGAAGGTCCTATATCCTCAAATAAAAGCATGTCATTTCAGAAATTACTAGTCAAACCTTCCATATAAAAAAGCATCTCTGCAAGCTTCTGTTCATTGATCCGGCAAAGGTCTCTTACTCCTTTTTGAAATAGAATTCTGGTGCCTCATAGGAGTTCTTGTTCACTTGTTTCCATTGGTGTGAATGGAGGTAGAATGGGCCTCATTTGTCTTGGTGCAGGTAGAAAATGGAGCAGTCAGGACTTGATCTGTGTGTAACAAAGATCCTTTTTCTATACTTTTCTTAGAGAAATGATTGGCCGTTCTCATGCCAGTATATATAATCATGATATTTTAATTTCCCTGTGGGTTTTTGCATTGTGGTAAACACAGTAATGTTAATGGAACGTTGTTCCCCCAAGCCCATTTTTAGGAGGACCGGTAACTGGTATTTTCAAAGTATTTTGTTTGTTGAAATTCCAGCACTTTGGTCAACCTAAGTAAAACTAAAATTCCATGCTGGATATTTGGATTGAGGGTAAAAAAAAAATTATGCTAGAACTTGCAGGAATTTTTATTAAAATCTGTTTTAGATTTCCACAGAATTTGCAAAAACTGCACCTTCCATCTTCTTAACAAAGCCTCCAAAGCACGAAGGACCGTTAGTTATTCAAACACCATGTGTCCTGGCCGAAACCTCAGCAGACTGGTTGAAGACAAATGGATTGAAGGGTAACACAGAAAGAAAAGGTTAGCAGATATGAAACATGAATTAAAGACAGAGCATGTGTTTTATTTAATTTCTTTGTTCCTTGCTATAGCTAAAAAATTAAACCTTTATCAAGTTTTGGCTCCCAATGCCTTCTCTCCTGTGGAAGAATTTGTACCTATTCTTAAAAAAACAGTATCATCAACTCTACATGAGGTAAGTGATAAGGACCCTTTTTCTTGTTTTCTTTTGTCTTTCTGTTGCCACAGTTTTCTAATTAAAATTAGTACTTTTTAAGTTAGTGAAATTCTACAGGCTTAATTTAAATTTGAGTCATAGATTCAAATCAGATACTTATTGTCATTCCTAAGAATGATTCAGGAAAGAATTTCGTGTTAGTGGAGCTCATATGGGCTTCTGTAAACACATAACTGTATTATTTGTCCTTCTAGAAAGCAATGCTGCAGTTGGAATGGTATGATGGAACTGTGAAAAATATCCATGTTGACCTGCCATTGTTATACAACTATCACGTGAGTTGTCTATAGTGATGTGGCCTTATCAGGGCTAGATTGCCATCTGATTATTCAACATTAATTGTCCTGTTACATAAGTACTGCAGGGATTCACGTGCAGACAGCTGTCCATGTAAGTCTGGGGGCATCTGGACAGATTTGGGGCCCAAATTCTTATGGTCGGGAGGAAGGAGGCTAAGTAGGAGAAAGAGTTCATCAGTGCTGCTCATAAATACAGCAGTGTGCATTTTATGATCGATGTATAAGAATGTATTTACATTATTTTACCCATGTATGTATGAATCCTGTAGCCTGTACGTTGAAGGGAAACAACACAATAGTTTTCCTGCTTGCTTTAACATAACTGTCCCATTTCGTCCTGGTTTAACCGTTTTAAAAAAAAAAGTTTTGTATTTTGTTTTATTTGTGTGAAAGTCAAACAGGTTTTATGATGAAAAATGTCTCATTGTTACTCTCTGGACCAGGAAAGACTGAAGGCATCGGAGGAACATTCTTGGAAGTAGTGTAGGAGCAAGCTTGGGTGGTGGTTGCATGACTTGCAACCACCTTCACTTATGTGAACTTTTTATTTTTAACTTGAATTTTCTATGTTTTATCCACAGAAACTCCTTGCTAAAATGGTAAGAATCTATGAGAAACGAATTGACTGGCTATCTGTTGCTAGCAGAAGAATATGGGGAAGCGTTTGTGAAAAGAGGTATGGTGCTTTGGTAGCCCTTCTTCTGTGTATTGGCGATGGTTCTAGTTTGCCAGCCTTTGCTTTGCGTGTAAGTCGGCACCAAGGAACACAGAACAGAAAATAGTCAGATGTAGAGACAACTGTTGCAGAGACAACCGATGTAAGCAACCTGCTTTTGAAAACAGGTATTGATATTAAGCTTTTATAATGATCCAGTGAAAACACTGAATCCAGTGGTCATCGGTCAGCACAAAACTGCAGTTTCCATGAGACTCTTCAGTTTGAGTTACCTAGCAAGTAAGCCTTTGGGGAATGTTCTGTTTTAAATCACACATAAACAGAACCTGAAGTTTCGGGCCAAAAGTAGCGCTTACAGTCAGTGTTCCAAACCCATGCTATTAGTACTGATGCCTGGGGTTCTTCTGCACAGTCTCTCGTGGATCCTTACCAGAAGATGAGATTCAGCCCACCAACTACCTTCTGCCTTGACCACTTACTGAAGTGTATTCTAGTGCCAAATGACAAGTGTCAGTGTAGATACACTCAAAAACTGAAGATTTTTTCTTTTTTCTTATGTGAGGTTGGACGTCTTAATCTGATTATGTATTGGGAGGGTGAAGTATATTTATATTGTGAATGAGGCCTTACCCAATCTCAGTAACACGGTGGCTCTTTTTGTCCTGTTTACAAACCTAGAACATGAAATTTCAGACCAAAGGAAAATAGCTGAGGCCACTGTTACTCGAGGTTTGTTCATTGATCAAGGATTGAATTAGCCCATCTGGCCACTGTATTGTGTTGGGAACTCGCATCACACTGTCCATCACAGGTGTAATTCTTTTCATTCTTTTTTTAAAATCTCTCCTTATGTTTTGCAGGGGTTTTTTTAAGTATAGATTAAGTATTTATACATATATATACACATATCTAGAAGATACTTTACCTGGCAAGCTAGAGTAAAGTGAAGATAAGAACATGTAATTAAGATTTTTTTTTTTTTTTATAAATGACATTTCTTATATAGGGTGGTTATACTTGTTGATATATCATTGACAAACTCTATGTACATCGACCATATCCAACACTCTTTGCGACTTCTACTTGAGGAACAAATGGCAAATAAGGATTACTTCAATATTATAGCGTAAGCAACTATTTAAGATTCTTTTAAAGTAATTATAACATATTGCAATGAAAGAAGTGTACTGAGAGAGTGTAGTTACTGATGACCATATTTTAGGTTTTTTAATAGTATTTACCATTTTGTGATGAAGTAATTGCAAGAGTAACACTGGCTTATTGTTGGATAGGTGCGTGCATCGGATGTACAGAGACCAGGGTAGTAATTAAAAATCACTGGTTTGAGTGATGCTCACTGGAACTGGTTGTATGATACCTGAAACAAATTATCTTCCTCCTCTCTCATTCATAACAATGTTAATTCACATGTCAGAAACTTTTGTTGCAAGAGGTACTGTAACTGAAATGCTTCTTACGTTTTACAGCAACTCCAGTACTTTTAAAATACATAATAGTACTAAAATTGTGGGCAGGTTTCTGAATGGTGGGTAAAAGCAAGAGACAGCGGCTCATGCAGTTCCCAGCCTGCTGGGAGAACAGAGCCCTTGACTTGAAAATCTGACAGTGCCCGAGTGATGGATAAATGTGAATAATTAAATGGTTTGAAGTAGAAAATAGTGAGCGTTGAGCAATTTTATGTGATACTCTAAATGCAGTTTTTCTTTTTCAGTGAGTTTATTGTATCTTTTTGTTCTAAAGCATAATCTGAAAATTAATTGCTGTTATCTTTCCATGAAAGATTTGGGAGTGACGTTGTGCCTTGGCAGCTGGAAATGGTTCCTTCCCAACCAGAAAACTTACAAAATGCTTGGAGGTAGAATCAAATAACTTTCACATACACCTGATTAAGTGGTCATACATACCATGAAACAGATAAAACAGAGAAACAGATTTAAGCATAATTGTGAACAATTTAGAAAATTTATGAATTTATCATATTACAAAAATAGTTTCTATGAACTGTTCTACACTGATTATTGTGAAAACAGCATTATAAAGTTACATGTCCCAGTGACTTTTTATTTCCTATGTATACAGAATGTATGTGTGCACAGATATGGAAGTGTCTGTGTAAGAAATGCTGGGTTATATGAGGAATTGAAGACCACTTCAAAGTCAACTGGGATGTGAAAGCTAAACTATGTTTTTTCCCCACCTATAATGGAAACAAATCCCAGTTTTTGTTTGTGGTTTTACACCCTCAGTTGTTTCGTTATACATCTGTGGTTTCATTTTTATTCCTATAAGTTCTACTATATTAAAATTTTTCTTTATAAGAGAGAATTCTTTGATCTCTAGGTTCTGAATCTTATCTTAAAAACTACTTTTCCGTGGTGGCAGTTCACAAATTAAATAACAGGGGTCATTATATAATCTGATTTTGCCATCTGTCAAAAAATGTAGACTAGTGCAGCATCAGGTAAGATTCTTTGTTCTCTTTATTACTTTAAGCAGAAACAAAAGCGCTTTTTTTTTCCTTTGTTCATTCTTTGAACTGTCTTTTAGGTGGGTGTTGAACTTGCAATGCAAAGGGAGTAGAAATTTCATGAGTGCTCTCAGGAGAGCTGTGGAAGTAGACTTCAAAGACAGAGATAGACACGAATCACAAGGACTTTACCTGCTGACTACTGGAATACCTGATCAGGAAACAGTTAAGTATCATCAACTCTTCTGTAAGTTCCTATCAGAATTAATCTCATCTTCATTTTTCCCCTCTCCTTTTTTTTTTTTTTTTAATTTTCGTTCTATCTTGCAGCACACAGTCAGTGCTTATGTGGCTGAGGTTTGCAGAGGTTTTGATTTGCACCTTCATGTCTGTCTGTTCAGCGTAATGGAGAACACTGACTCCAGTAGGGTTCTGCCCGCGCGCTATGCTGACCCAGCTGAAACTGCCACTGCTTTTAAAGAAATAGCACAGGCAGCCAATGGGAGATTTCATTGGTTTGGAGAAACAGGTATGTGAAAGGGAAAGTCAGCACCTAGTTCTTTTTCATTAGTTATAGTTATTATTGCTTTTTTCACCCAATCAAGTAGTTTATTTTTTAGGATGTGATAATATGATACTAGCACTGAGATTTAAACATTAGTCCTAGTCTGATTGAGGCTTTCAGTAGTATTGAAGAATATTATAATTCAGCCTTAATGCAGAATTTTTTTTTTCTACTTGAATTCATTCTTTTCTGCTAGTTACTTTAAAGATACACATTTAAAATAAAGTTACTACTGTGATAGGTCCAGACTGCCTGGATTTTAGGAAACAAAGGCTTTTTGATTCTTTTCATTGGTATTACATGCTCTGCCAATTGTACATTTAAAAAATTATATATTTTGTACACTTAAAAACCCCAAACTGATTATCATATATTTGTCAGGTATTTTTGAAAGTGATGATATCACTATTATTGTGTCTGAAATGGAAAAGGCAAAAAGCTATTCCCAAAAGGTAGGAATTACATGTATTTTTTTAAGTTATGCTTTACTTCAGAAAAGAATTCAACAATGTTTGTTCAACTGACAACTGAAAATAAGGATTGAAAAAAATGAAATTCCTCATAAGATGGAGAGGAGCGTTCTAGAGTGTGAGAATAGTCACTGTAAAGTAAATACGGGCCAGAAAGCAGTTGCGCAATAGCACTGCTGTGATGGAGTGGCCGTGATTCCTTATCAAATACAAGCACTTTGTAATTGAAGTGATTCTCCTATTTTTTGCCAACCGTATGATGAATTCTTCTCAAGTGGAATGAATTGTTCATTATAATTATACATGTAATATATTAATTAGTTATACAATAATTTATATAATATTACATTTCTAAAAGTCACATATTCAGTTATCATTTAATAGCTGCATGTACTTAGTTTATCGTCTAACAATTTGGTATGGTCTTGGTATGCATACCTGTTGCCTTTTTGTTTAGAATGTTTGTTCAAATCAGGGAGGATTTCCCTCCTATGTGTCTGAGCAATCACAGCATCAAGGGCTTCCTATTCAGTTAGAGGTGTTAAGCATGACCACATTAATAAATTTGGTATCACTTTTGTTTGTTATTAAAGTAATAAATAAAGAACACCTGTCTTTGGAATGTCATTTTCTTAAATTTCATGTATATGAATTACTAAACAATGTGAACTTCTATTTCAGTGTGCATTCCTAGTGGAATCCTTAAAGCAACGTTCAGTAAATCATTCTGTTAATGCATTTATACAAGGAGACTCAAACGTGCTTAAGAAGAAAGAGAAAAGGAGGCCACAGAAGTTGCCAGCTCCTAAACCCACAGCTCTCAGTCTGGCTCGAACGGTTTGAAGTGGTCCCATTTTTAAGATGCTGTGTGTTTTAATTAGAGATCCTACCCATCTATCAGATGCTGCTCTTTGCATGAGAAGTGCTCAGGCTGAAAATGTGGAGGGAGTAAAACAGCATTGTGATAGTACTCTGAATTTACATTTTAGTTTGCATTCAAAGTGCTCCATAAACAAGAAAGCACATCTTATTAAGTCCTGTTAAGTAGTTAATTATAACAGAAGCACTTTATAGAGTCTAAAATTATCTAAAAAATCATTCTTCTGACCTGAGTGTTTAATGAAAGTGAAGGCAAGCAGCAACGTGCTTTACTAAGTTACATCTAGTTTACAAGTCCTTCTAGCAAGTACTGAATTTTATGGTGTCAGTCATTTAAAGTTGAAGCAGCTGCAGCAGAGTAGTGTGTCTGGCCACACAGAGCCAGCATTAAACAAGAAATAGGCTTCAGGATTTTTTTCCTGCCTGCTTTGCTTATTTCCATGGAGTTGCACTCCTGAGTCCTTTGAATTCATTTGAATTTAGACTCAGCTAATGTTTTCTTTTTTTGATTTTGACTGCGTATGCATCTGTTTTGCGTGGGTGTGCAAATCTGTCATATGCATAAATGGCCAGTGCCAGTGCTTACCACTATGGCGTGTAAAGGACTAGACACAGAAGCACCCGTTGCAGAGGAGGTACTTAACTTTTGACCTGAAACTTTCAGGTCTCATTTTTGACATGGGAATGACACTCTTAAGTGCAGATATGTTCATGTTGCAAAGACCTTTGTAGTAAACTCAAACAGGTTTCCCGTGCTATTTTATCAAAACCAGTATATTCTCAACACCTCCTCACAAATGCAGGAAAAAAGTAATCACTCAGAACTATGACTACGAACCACGGTTTTACAGGGATTAAAGTTGTAGAAAACCCATACAGGTTTGACTGTAGATGTTGAACTTTGTTTGTTGTAGAGCTGTATGTTAAATTGGACGTCAGTTCCTTGAAATCTCTGTGTCACAGCAGAAGTCTGATCCCATGGTAGGGTTAGAGAAGTGTTCATGTTGTTTAGCAGACTGCTCAGCCCTTAGAGGGCTGAGCCGTACGTAAAGGAAGCATTACTTTTGTAAGCCCTAGGCTTGCGATATTTGTTAAAACTCTGAGGGAAAAACCGCACACTATATTCTGTAAAACAGTGCCATTACTGTGCTAGACTGCTTCTTCAAGTGACAAAGGTGGTCCAAACTTGTCTGCATGTAGCTGTTAATCTTTAGGTTTATGGCAGCAGATGAAATTGGCATGATAATTAAAAGAGAGCAATTAGAGTTACTTAACTTAGCAAGAAATTGCAAATGAACAAGTTGTCATGGCAGTCTGCTGACTTGTTAGAAGAGCCAGAGCACAACAGAAATTAGACAATAATGAAGGCTGTTTCCAGTTTTGAACAATACAGTTCTCATCCAACTGAAATACCTTTTAATAATTTTTTATTATATATGCTTATAGTATATTAAAGACAAGTATGGTGCTGAGAGAAATGCTTCCGTAAGAGCACTGGCATGGCGTCCTACGAGTGTCAAAGCAGAAATTCCACCAGGTCTGTATGAATTAGGGGTTTTTAGTCTTCAGTTTCTTTGGCTTGCAACAAAATACTAAGTTAGATCTAAGTTTTAGAAACACTTGAAACTTTAATCTTTAATCAGCCTAATAAGAAATGGTCATTTTGAAATTACTTCAGTATGACATTTAGCCGTCATGTATCTAGGTTTCTTTTAGACTGTAGGCAGAAGAACTGCTGCACCACTATCAGTTTCCGGGTTATATGATTGAATATCCCTCCTATATCAGGAAATGTCAAATGTCTGTGGTGGAAGGGAGAGCCCTGCCTTATCCCATGCCTGAAACCATAACTAGAATCTTGCTTCTCTTGGTGTTCAATTCGTACTCCTTTTTTTTCCTCTCCAAAAGCTCATAAATTAAAAGATTTATTATATTATTAGTACAATATATGTATTTTTGTTAATACAGTTAGATTCCATTGTAATTAATACACTATTCCACTTGACTGACTTACAATCTAGTAATGAAGTTACAAACCCCACAAATGTCAGGTTATCTGAAGTGCTGTTTCAGCTGTTCCTGGTTCAGTCACTGTTGGTCCCTTCAAGTCCTTTATCCTACATTGTTGTAGTTTTCCTGTGTTTTTTTCTTTGCATCTTTGCTAACATCTGCAAATTTATTTTTTTTTTGCCTTATATTTGAGCCTTGAAATGAGATTGTTGATACATAGGGATGTTTACAAATCTGGATTCATATTTGCATATGAATAAATAGTGTATTTGCATTGCTTTATACAATCTAACTGGCTTTTCTAACAAATAGTATGCTTATTGTAAACCCCTAATCTTTTCAAATTATGCTGTGGTGTTCTTCCTGATGAAAAGTAACTAGTTCTGTACTATGGATTTTTTTAAGCAGTGTCTAAAAAATTGTACTGTGTATAACTGTGGTAATAAGAAATTATGAATCAGAGAACTGGATTGCATGCAAGAGTTTTATCTAGATGAAATAAGTCAACTTTTTTTTTTATTGTAGTACAATCAATAAAAGAATGGCCTCAGACTGAGAGTAAAAGAAAGCATAAACCAAGACAGCAGACAGAATTTTCTGTGTCAGTATTTTATACTGATAAAGGAAAAAATGTGGGTACGTGTTACCACAGGATGATGGGTGAAGCCTTTATATTGTCAGCATTTTTATTATAAAAATGTTAGGTCACTGATAATCAGTGTGCTTTATATAGTGAGTGGAAGTGGGTTATACTTACCAAATAGTGCTGGGGTTTTTTGGTTTGATGTTTGGGGGGTCTTTTAGGGGGCTGGCTCTTTTTGTTTGTTTTTTTGGGGTGTTTTGGTGGGCTTTTTTGTAAAAGCTTTTGGGATCTTTTGGTCGAAAATACTCTAAGGAAAAATACTGTCATCATGGTTTAGATGGTTACAGAAGATTTGGGTTGGAATTTTTTGAAGCTGACAGTTTTGAAAAATAAGTGATTTTTTTTTAAGTACTTTGATATATAGAAATGGTGCAAATTTTTTTCAAATGTGGAATTATGTATTAAATGCTAGTCTGTGGGCTTGGGAGTTTTTTGTTTGTTGTTTTGTTGTTTTAATCAACAGTCATATGTGATTGAAAAGGGCTGTGGTTTAAACCTCGATCTCCCAATATTACTTTGTTCGTTTTCTTAACTAGGTACAGTATACCGAAAGTATCCAAAGATAATGTGTGTGAGAAAATCTGTTCCCTCTGTTACATTGCCAAAAAAAGAGGACATCTGTTCAAGCAAAGAGGTATTTTGCTCCTTACTACTGAACTTAGGGGGCCATTTAGCTCAGTGGTTTGAGCACGGTGCTGGCAACAAGGATCAACACCGAGGTCGCGGGTTTGATTCCTGCTTGGTCCCCATGTGTTGCCTGGTCTAGTCGAGAGGTGGCGTCCCTGCCCAAAACAGGGAGGTTGGACTAGATGATCTCTAAGGTCCCTTCCAGCCTAGGCCATTCTAGGATTCTATGAATTTCCATTTAGAATTACCTGCATGAATTAATGTGAACGTGTTGTGATTCTGTACAATGATTTATTACTCTGAGTGTTCTAATATTTTCTAAAAACTAACTGCTGTGTTTGTTTGTTTGTTTTATAAGTGGCTGGCCAAGTACAGTATTAAAAAGCTTAAACTGGAATTGCCCAGACTGCTGTTTGGTCCAAGCTATACTCACCAAAAGAAAACTGTGGAGTCTCTGCACAAGAAAGTATCAGCAAAATACTGCACTATCTTCCCTAGCGTAGAAATCAACGTAAGCTTTTGCAGATGTCATGTACCTACAACACGAAAAAGCTTTATATTTCTTTAAGCCAGATGCACATTGGTCGGTGTTTGTGGCTTGGTGGAGTGATGGTCCCTCCACCATTCCCTATTCTTTCTGTTGGAGAGCTAGAGAAAGTATTTTGTTCAACACAAAAAATGTTTAGTACGTTTGAAGTGCAAATTGCTTGGGGTCTTGAGAATGTGTGGCAACTCCTCTGTTCATACAGTGTAAAAAATGCACGTACGTATACACATACAGTGTAAAACATTTTAAGTAAAGCTTTTTAAAATCCCGTGCATGTCAAAACTGGGAAAATGTGGGATCTTGATTGATTTGGTTTGTGTAATCACTGAAGAGAAGCACAGAAAGTTAAGTCCAGCATATTATTGCTCTCTTGTGTCAATAGAACTGTCAGAAGTAATGCAGCAGATGCACGTATCCAATCCTATTGTAGAATTTTGCTGCCCAGCACAACTGGCTAATATGAGAACTAGGATTTCCTGATTTGGGTAAACCAGTCAGTAGTAACAGAGTTGCAAAGAATTTCTTACACTACTTCATAGAGGTGAAGATGAAAAAAATAGTCTCCCTGGTTTTGATGCAGACATTAATACATAGCAGCTGAGCTCAGATGTCCTGAAGTAAGGTGCTCTTGTACAAACTGAATTTTTCCAGGGGGTTGTGAAACATCTGCAGTTTCAATCTAAAGAACTAGAAACCTACACAGAACAACTGAAGAAAGTGTTGCAGCGCTATATACGAAGAATACAGTGGCTTCTGTCAGGTACTGGTGTGCATCAATAAAACACAACTGCAATATATATAAAATCTTCCTGTCTACTGTTTCTAATAGAATAAATCCAAACCTCAAGTATGACTAAAGATCATCCATTTTACATTTCACTGAAATATTTAAAAGTATTTTTATGACAATAAAATAACAATACAAGAGAATTCAGTATCTGTGTAGCTGATAAACCTGTAGTTTGCTGTGAAATAATTAGGGCTGTGATATTAAGTTTTTGTATTTTGTGATTATGAAGATAAGGTTCTTGGTGTTAGAAGCTTTCTATCAACGAAATACGTACAATAACATATAAAAGCAAAATTAACTTTCCTGTTTCTTTTACTGAGAATGTGCCCTACTTCAAAGTTCAGTATTGCTGGTGAAAAGTATTTTGATCCCTCTGTTGTTCATAAAGATGTTTGGTGGGAAGCAGTTTAGTTTTTTGCTGGATTTTAAAGTAGGAGCTGCATATTGCTTAATGCAAGTCGCTACTATTAGCTGATAATTACTGTTTAACAGCGATAGATTTGAAATGGTAGAAGACTTTTCTGTTATTAACCTTTGAGTTACCTTGTTTCCACAGAGATTAGAATTTATTATGTAGCAATATAACCCCTAAAGACTGGAGATTTTACATTATGCTCAATAAAGTAATATGCTCAATAAAATGAGCCTATACAATGACACTTAATTAGTTTTAATGTTCTGGCCCAGGAAGCCGAAGGTTGTTTGGTACCGTTTTAGAAGCAAATGTCTGTGTTTTGATTGATACATCTGGTTCCATGGACCCATATTTGCCACATATCACAAAAGAACTTGCATCTCTTATCTGGGAACAGCTGAGAAATAATGAAGTCAGGTATGGTGAACTGCTGATAAAGACTGAAATGACATTACTTATTATTATGTAAGAAGATTCCTTAATAATTAGAAATTACACAGTACTGAAACACAGTACCCGTAATTATTGTATGTTAGTGTATTATATGCATGTGACATGAACTGTGTTTTCTGTTCTTCTTTTCAACCAGCTTTTAATTCTGAGCTCTCTTAAGATTTGAGCCTCATTTGCCGTAGGCTGATGCTATTTATTCTTTGGGGCTCAGCATTCCTATAGATTTTCTGTTCATGCAGAGTGAGTTATGCGTTCTGCCTTTTCCAAAGCTGAAGAACTTTTGTATTAAGGTTTTTGTTTGTTTGTTCATTTATTTATTTTGAAAACTGCCTTATCCAAAGTGACTGATAGTATTGGTTAGGGTTAAATGTTGTGGGCCATCTTCCTCCTCAGGTTTAACCTACTGAGATTTGCAGAAAATACAGAGAGCTGGAAGGAGTGTCTTGTAGAGGCAACTAATGAAGCATGTCATGATGCTGTACAGTGGGTGTCCAAATTCCATGCTCATGGTAACACATGCATCCTTAAGGCTTTACAGGTTAGTAAGTGGTGTCCCACATACTGGAGAAGATACCCTATCTTGCAGTGACTAAGCACTTCCACCTGACTGATAATATTTTAGGAAAATTATGCAGTCAAAGCATACATTTTTATATACAAAACACTGAATGGTTCTGGAATCGAGCCACTATTTCTGTCCCCAGGGCTCCTAGATAGTAGAATTCAATGTGAAATATCAGTAGTTGCATTAATATTTTTGTTCAGAGAATGCTGGAGAGCAAAAATAGCCAATTGCTCAGAATGATGCTTGTGTATAGCTGTGGCTGTGATATATTTGCTCTGAGACAAGCAGGGATTTTAAAGACACATTTGTCGGAATCCCATGGGCATTGGGTACAATTCTTGAACTTCAGTGACAGACGAAGAAGCGTTTCTCGTGTTGAAATTAACTAATAATAATTTGAAACAGAAACTGAAAGAACTGGCAAATTCTGAGCTTTGAATCTAAAAAGAAATGTTACCTTAAATAAATAGTTCTTCCAGATTCCCTTGCAGAATCTCCGTATAAATTTTAGGGATTTATAAATTCATCATGAATCAAGTCCAGTAGAACAGTAAGATGTCTCTATATTACAAAAATGTCCACTGAGTCAATTACTGTAGCAAGTTTTCGTAATATAGAAAGGACAAGTTCTAATGAGCCTGCGTATCAGACATTAAGCATCTTTAACTCCCACAAAAAATGATACAAGAGTCTTCTGACAGCAGTTGTGCAAAAGTTTGTTTATTTCAATGACTCAGTTTTTGGTGGTGCCCTGCTTATGAATGTATTGTCTTATGCTACAACATATCTACTCATTTATTTTTGAAATTTATATCCTTGACCTCTTTCATACTTAGCGAAAACCAAAAGACAATACTAATTTGATTGATCACGTGGTAAATATATAACTATCTTAGATAATTGGAATGGTGTTTTTATTCTTAAGTATAGCTTTTTGTGTGAATGTACTAATTATTTAAGCTTATTTTCTGCTTTTCAGAGGGCTCTCAGTTTCCAAGGTACAGAGGCACTGTATGTATTGACTGATGGAAAACCAGACACCAGTTGCAGTCTGATTTTGAAAGAAATTGAAAAATTGAGAAAGAAACAAGATATGAAAATCCACACCATTTCTTTTAGCTGTACAGACAGGTATTTGATGCTTTGCAATAACAACAAAAAAATCTTTTAAATTACTAGTTTATGTGTCACCAAAAGGCAGTGTTACGGAGATGGACCGTGTGCTCAGTTTGCTGCACACCGTGGCTGAGCTAGACATTCAAGCGTCTGGGAACTGGGAAGGCTGTTCTGAGTCACCTAATTGCCACACGCTGCTTCCTTTCAAAGATGTGGAGGTTTTAATGTCCAGTTCTAGAATGGAATCAGTCCTTGCAGCTAACTTGAAATTAATGGATGCATGACTATTTGGGACTTTGCAATGCTAGTGCTTGGGAGACAGGACTCTAAAATGATGTATGAACGGCAGTAGAAGTGTGTGATTTAGCATACTTGCAGTAAGAACACATTCACAACTGTACCAGTTATCCCAGTGGTGGTTGCAGAACAATGGCAAGTAGTAAGAGGCGGAGGCAAGAGGACAAATGTAGAGTATGCACAAAATGTTTTGTGTTTTTCATTTTCTTCCCCTGTGTAAAATGTTACTGCCTTTTACCTGCTGGCCTGGCTTCTGGATTTTTTTGTTTAGTGTCTTTTTTTGCTTGTATTCTAAACTGATCCTCTTGTCCAAAAATAGCCTGTCTTTGGAGGTTATGACACCAAAGCAGTGTATGTTCTTCATTAGCAATTTACAATTAGAAATTACACAAAAGTTTATAATCGTGTCCTCCGAATCACTTGTTTTGATGTGATATTTTTTGAGGAATTCTTAGAAGTTCTTTTTCTATTTCTGTGCTTTCAGAGGAAGTCAATTTTCATAAGTAACTTATTGCTTTGTTGTTAACAGAGGAGCTAATGAATTTCTGAAGAAGCTTGCTTCCCAAACAGGGGGGCGCTACCATTGTAGTTTTGGAGATGTGGATGGACAATTAGCAGCACACAGAATGTTGACAGAGGAGCTTGATGATGAAGATGTATGTTAAATGGATTTGTTTGGGTTTGTTTCTTCAACTTAGTTCTTTTTCAGTAATCAAACTGCATTTAAAAAAGAAAAATCATGAGAAAAATTTAATACAAATCTCCTAAGATACTACATGGCAAAACTGAAAGGAGAAATCTTTGTCTGGCTTTTAGTCAGGTGACCAAGCCCATGAAAGAAGTATACAATACAGTTTTTGAAAGAGAAGCAATTAAAAAAAAAATTGTATCTGGACACTGTAGTTTTTAAGCTAACTTTAGCTTTTATTGTGCCTTCTTATCCTTACCATCTTGTATTTAAGTTATGTAATTGTAAAATTCTCACAGTGTTTAGCATATTAATGATCCAGCAGGAGACGTCAGGGATTGCCACAGGAGAAAATTACATTAGTGAACAGAATGATATTCAATCCAGAGTTGCTCTGCTCTCACAAGTAGGTAGGAATAGGGAGATTTAGAGCTTAGGCTCAGTTAATTAAGTTGGTAGAACTTCAAGATAATAAAAAAGTGCAAATTCAAGTGGAATGTTTGAATTTTGTTTCCAGGATCCAGTTTTCCCATGCTTTGAAGGAGATGATTTAAAAAAACTTACTCAAGAAGTAGCAAAAGGTAGAAGTTTCTTAAAGCAGGCAGAGCGTTTGAAGTGAGTATTTATCGTGAATCTTTCAATGAGGTCTTTTCCAATCTAAACAATTCTATGACTATTTCCTGGAAGCAGCCTGGTGCTGTCGCACTGCATGCCGCCTGTATCTCAGTCGACTGAGCTGGCCTGAGTGGCTCACCATTCCCTGCTGCTTCTGGGGCCATTCCGAGCTACATTTGATACCTGCCTAGAACTGAAGTGAGGGACAGTTAAATCATATTGACCCTTACGTTTCTTCATTGTTATGCTCCCTAACTGCCAAAACAGAACGACAAGATGCCATTTCAGTAGTATTAGTGGTGGGCAGAAGTACTTGCAAAGAGCTTTAAAATGCATGTACCTCCTCAAGGAAAAGACTTTCTGTCACACAAGGATGTGGCTAAACAAAGATAAAAAGGAACTATATATATCTGTAAAAAGCTGCTGTAATTCTTTGGGTTATGTTTTTCTTTCAAACAGGTTACTACTTCAGAAATGGAATATAAACCAAAAGGACAATTCTGGCTTTTAAAAATAGTCCTCAGGTAAATAGTCACCACAGATAGATCATAGCTTTATAGATAATCATATATATCAGTAGCAGGTTAATATTTCATAAGCCTAATGTAAAATGTATTTGTTTCCTGCAGTGACTTCTTCGAAAGTTGAAAACATTTGTGATGATTGTAGTTCTTAGCTGAGCTAGGCCACAGGATAACCTAATAGATGCAAAGAACAGTTCAAAGACAGTTATGTTTGGGGTGAATGTTTTTTTATAGTTATTAATGATTTATCTCTTTCTAAGAGCAAGCAGCTAAGCACACTAGAGGATTAGGAGCAGATGGAATGGCCATAAAATTGCTAGTCAGGTTGCATGATTTATCAGTTAAATGAGCAGTGCTGAATGAAAAAAGACTCCACTAATAGTAAACAGCCTCATTAAACACTGCAGTGTTGTTACAAAGTTGTGAGAGAGGCAGCTGGACAAACTGAAGCGCTTACAGAGCCGACCTGCTGCTTTTGAATTGGCAAAGTAAAAATTACAGGAAAAGGAAAAGTTACTGAGTGGAAGTACTTTCTCAAGGTTAAACAAGACACAGGAGCTGTTTGAGGGGAACAAGTGGACATGCAGACAACTACAGAAAGTTGCACTAGAGAACAAAGGCCTGATAAGATAGACATCAAGAAATGGATGTAAGGTAGATACATAGTAAGACTGGTTCTTTTACAATCCTTGTTTTTATAGTTGTAGTTTGCTTTACAAACATTGGCCAGTCATTCAAATAGAAGGGGGGAAAAAAAATCAAGTCAGACCCACTGGTTAAGAATGCTTGCTTCATCGAGAATGGAACCTGGAGCCTCATCAAGTATGTGCAGAATTTGGCCTGTAAGAGCTGATCACTAAAGAGTGATGCCTGGAGAGGAAACCGATACGTAACCATCCTGTAGTAGCAAGAAAGTTATTACAGGCATGTAGAGATAGAGACTAGTGTTCCACAACGATCTCTTTCTTTCAGCCGTCCAAGGTAAACTGTATTGGCTGTAAAGTGTGTAGGAAGATGTTCCTGTTAAGGTACTTAAGAAAATTGATAGTATTGTAGCATGATTCTATTGCATAAGGAAAATCAAAAGTGAATCAAGTTAATTTATATTGCTTTTCCATTACCATTTTGTCAAGGGTGATGGTGAGCCTATGCAGTTTATGTATTTTGAATTGTATTTTAAAAACTATTCATGTGCTTGACTTGTAGGACTAAATTTTGGATGAAGAAAAGATGTTGAAGATGTTTGGAGTGGTACCACTAGCCTGTTGCTTCTCAGAGTGCTTGAAGGTTCCAGTTTCAAGCAGAAAGAGGGAAGGTGTATTCTTTGTTGTTCCTGAACTTCTGGCAAGAGGAGTTACAGAGGATGCCGACTTACTCCGCTTGCAGACTTTGCAAGAGTCAAAAGTAAATCATGCCCTGAACTCTCCAGAGTTTAAGCATAAGTAGAGGATACTTTTCAATAGAGCTAATACACATTTTTTTAAGTGTATGTATTTCTAATATAATTGGTAGTCACACAAGGTCACAACTCTTGTTCCTCTTCTATTCTATTGCATCCTACTAATAATTTTGTCAGTTGGTTAGTGGTGTATCTTTCTTGGCAGTTGGTTTGTGACTTCTTTGCTGGTGTTCATTATCCCTAGCAGATGGGGCAGATGGGTGTGATACTAGAAAGAGAATTTTTTATGCCAGTTTTGCATAGGAAGTCCAAGAAATAACCTTTTTGTTGCAGAAACCAAAGCTTGGAATGAATGTTTTACCAGAAGCTTTCTAATAGTTCTTTTGACTCTGCTTTTTATGTAGGCAGTAGAGTTGATGATTTAGAAATAATCAGACATGCAAGCAATTAGTATCTTGTTGCTTCTAAAGCCTAGTTACATTTGTGTAGCTAGACACTGCCAGTCTTCTTAGCAGTTCTGTTAAGTTTTTACATGTTTCCTGTCCTAGAAAGATTACAAATATGTTTGTCAGTACCATATAAGAAAAACCAGTTTAAGGTAACTGCAGTAATGAGGCATATGTTTCTCCCAGTTGATCTATGAAATGCACTTTGCGCTTTTTTTTTCTTTTTGCTGAGAAACTCTTCAGTGGCAGCTCATTAGGATATTGTACGTGTTTACTGTTGTCTTTCAGAGGGTTAGGAATTAATCTCAGGTGTTCAAAATATGTAATATTTGATAAAAATTGATTCAGACTGCTGAATTCAGATAAAAGATCTGCCTTTGTTCGGGATCCTTTGGCATCTCCTGAGTGCCTGCTGATGGGGATGACTAGATAGACTTTGTTATGGGAGATACTATATTTTCTGTCCTTCCATCTGTTATGTCTTTGTAAAGAATTAAAAATTATTTTTATCATTAAAGTCTCTTTTTAGTGTTGTATGTTCTGCACCAGCTGACTCCTGCATTCCATGTTAGTACTCGTCTGCTGTGGAGTGCTGCCGCTAAAATGGTGCTTTGTGCGGTGCATCCCTTTCTCTGATTTTATTAGCATGTGTGATGGTATGTGTGCAGCTGCTAAGATGCTTTGATAGAAAATGTTAAGTGTAAATTAATAGGATTAGTTACGTTTTTATTTGGGATGTATAAATATTAGAGGATGATCACTGATAAAATGTGTGGCCTTGTACTGACTCCAGTGTTAGAACAGTACATCCAGGTAGAAGGGGTGAGGTTTCTTTATTGCCAGAAAGACACTCTTATTTATTCCTCAGAGGATTTAAGAAATGTCACAGTACTGTAGCATAGATTCTAATATTCTTATAAAGGTCCTTTAAAAGAACCTTAAACAGAAGTTGTGTAAGTATATTAAATTATGTCAGAGACTTTTTGTGAAATAATATAATAACGCACGTGTCAGATTTTGCAAATGAGGATACGTGTCGGAATACTTCAGTGCGTCGTGTTAGACTGCGATCTGTCAAACCTCTCATTTACAGCCTTTTTTTCCCCTCTGTACAATATTTGGTGTTCAGACATTTTGTTCATTCAAAACAATTCCGTTTACACAGTGTCTCTGTAGACTGATCGGCAGTGGATCTGTGTAATCCTAAATTCCTGGCAACCTACACTAATACTTGTTGCTCAGCTGTTCATTTTGGGTTAGACCGGTCAGTTGTTTCTGTGGGCAGAGCACAGCAACTTTCTCTGGTTCTCTTGACCATGTTCCCAGACTTGAAGTAGGTGTTAGGAATTCAGGTGTCTTCTTTCTGCTCGTGATGTGAGCTAAGGGTTTCTAAGTCTCCTATCCAAGAAAAATACAACTGAAAAGTAAGGCACAAATGTTCACGTTAGAATTTATGTAACAGAAGCTACAAAATGTTGGGTGTTGCTGTATTTAGTCCTTGTATCCCACCCAACTTCACTTCTTTTGTAAATGTTCTCAGGCTGTGCAGCCTCTCTCCATGCTTCTGAAGCCTTGTTGTCTTGCAAACTGATCCGTCCTGCTATCTCCTATCTACTCAGAGCAGCTCCTTTAAAGTATAGCTTCTATCTCCAGCTTATTTACCTGGAAGTTCCTGCTGTACCTGCTCACATAAATCTGAGGGCTGCTTTAGTCATGAAAGCATTTTAAGGAGATGGTTCAGCTGTGATGACCTGATTCACCAAGTACCCTGTTAATGAGTTTTCGATGTGGATCTGTCAGGTGTACGTCATTTGCTTTCCTAGTTATGCTTTCTGGAATGCAATTCACTGTGTTCAAAACATAATAAAAGAGGAATTTTATAATTGACAAAGATGAATATTTTTCTGCCAGCTTGTTTATAAGTCATGTCATTGCTGTGACTCACTTAATATGTTGATTTGTGTGCAATGCATTAAAGACAAATGGCTAAACCAGTTACTACTTCAAAGTATGTGTTCTACCCTCTCTCGGAAAAAAAAAGTTTTCGCTGAAGGAATGGGTAACTTCCATGGGGAGCAGCTCATGTACTGCCATAATTTACAGTCAGCTTCCAACCACAGTGTTAGAGTTAACTGGTTCTGATGTTCATAAAAGCTGAGTATGGGCTGGAGTTCAGGAACTCCTTTGTGTGTGGTTCAGCCGTACCTGCTCCAGAGGACAACCACCTCCAGAAGAAGGGTGGGACTAAACTTGGCATAGTAACAAAATCCTCCGTCTAAATATGCCTGAAATGAGTCAGCCTCGGGAAGTTCATGCTGCCTCTAAGGAAGTGACAAGGGTAAGTTGCTTTGCCTCTGTAACTTTTCTAACTTAGCAAGGAATATGAAGGACTTTGTATTATCATTAAGTATTTAATGTTGCATTCGAATGATGCATGCTTTGTGTATTAAATTATGCCTCATTTTGCATTAATATTGTGTGGGAAGCTTCTTTAAGTACACCTTCATTCTTTAGAAATATTTGCTGTGTACCAATGTGTAGCATTTGATTATATGAAAAATAAATATTTTTAAGTTTCCTTTCCCAATTCAGATCTCATTTCTATTTGGAAGCAAAAATTCTAAGCACAGCAAGATATGATGTTCAGAGGAGAGTTCTTTTCCTCTTCTCCATGATCGTTGTAAGACCTTCTGATTTAAATGCTTCTTAACGTTTTCTGACATCTCTCACTGAAAAATGGAAATACCTGACCATTGTCACTTCACTTCTGTCAGTTCTCTGTTGTTTTAGACTCAGTCCTTTCTGTGAGCATGATTGGTTTTGTAGTGACAAAAAGCTGAGTACTTTAAGTCAAACATACTTAACACCCTACAACAGATCTGTCCGGACTTCTTTGGGGTTGTGGAGAGGATCGGCGATTTGGGTACGCTCTTCAAACGAGTCTTGCCACTCCTGAGTTCATGTGGTTGTGTCAGTAGATATGAGTGGATGTCTGGATGTGAACAAGTGCACAAGGAGTTGTTCAGACATGATGAGTCTGAACTACTTTGCTGATTTCAGGCTTAGATACAGAATCTCTCATAACTTGAAGAGAGGATATTTTTACACTGCAGTTATTTCAGAAATATCCTATCCTTGAGATAGCTTTAAGAGAGAGCTTTATCTCTCAGGCTTTTCTGCTATTCTGCCCTTGGGCACTGCAGAACATCCCATCCTGCCTGTGCTTCAGACCAAACACCCATCTGTTTTGCTAACTCAGACCTGCCTTACTAACTCAGACCTCTGTCTAGCTCTTGACGCTTTGGCTGCATGTCTTTTGAAGGCTCCTTTCTGCATAGTACCTTCCCCACAGTTAAAGACCCTCATTCAGGTTCGTGTTACCTCACAGCTGGAGTGTTGCTCCTGTCCTGTGGCCTGAAAATGCAGACCTGTGAAGCTGATGGAACCTGCTGAATGAGAGGGACAAAGCCCCAGTCTCCACATGTCCTCTAATAACTCTCTGTGGTTGAGGACCCCGCACTGGTGCCCCCAGAACTCGTTCCTTTGCACTCAGGAGACATGTAGTATCTTGCCTTTCTTATGCCCCAAGTCCTACTCACTCCATTTGGATTTATTAGCGGACCTACTAGCAAGCAGCTCAAAACAGAGAATTTGGTGTCCTTGAGGTTTTTACTCTAACTGTCACCCATCTGTCAATCTGAGAGGTACAGATGAGCTTGGCAGGTTCAAAGATTCTACTTCTCATGCAAACCTCAAGGACTTAGATATACATGTTAGGCTAAAATCTATTTGCCTAGGTGTCAGTTTGAGTTCTTGCCAGCACATGAACATTAAATTACATTTAAATCGCAAAGTCACCTCTGAACTTGAGATATTTCTAACATGCCAACATTTAAAATTGTAGTCATTTAGATTTGGGAGTGTTTCTTTAGCATCTTTACTGCTTTGAGACCTAATTTTAGACACACTCATTTAAAAATGTTGGCTTTGATTTCACATTGTTTAATTTGCAAAAGGCTATAAAACCTTAGGATCATCTTCTATAATTATTAATTGCTTAATGCGTTAATCATTTTAAATGCATTACTTAATAGTAAATCTCCTTTTCCTGTGTGTACTAGTTGGTTGTTGGTTTACTGCCTGCACTTAATTTATCTTGGACGCTGGAGAACAACCTTTGTGCCTACAGTTAAGCCTCTTTCCAAATACCTAATTGGGTTGGGGACGAGGATAGAAAAGTCAGGATGGACGTGTGAAGTACCACTGACGAACAAGATTTTTGTTTATTCTTTTTATCCAAATTTAGATTGAAAACTGTCAGTAGAAGGAGGAAGTATCTCCATTCACTCTGCTGCTAGATGAGATGTATCCTACCAAAATGTCACACAACCATAAAAGAAGTTCATTTAGTGTTAAGAACTTCTTTACTCTTTCTTTAGTAAAGAACTTTTCTCTGTACTTTTAAAAACAGCGTGAGATGTTTTAGTAATCTAGTACAATTTATCTACAAAATGATGGTACCAATAGAATATTTGTGTTACCTAGTGTCTTATCAATAAATTTATGAGGTACCAGTAAGAGATACCATCCTATTTAGAAGAGTTTGATGCGGAGAAAACATTTCCTTTTTTTCCTGAAAAGGAACGTATATTATATACAAATTAAGCCCTGCCCTTTTTTGGCTCCTAGCCCAGCCACCACAGCTACAAAGGAACAGGAACAGCAAAAGGGCCTGAGCACACGTGAACATCTCTGTTTGCCTGAGAGTACCTGATTCCCCTGTGTTACCGACTGTCCAGCAAAGAGAAATCTCACCATCTTACTTGGACAGGAAGGACTGGCAGAACGCTGACATCCAGGATTCCACCAAGGGTACTTACTACTTCTTTAGCTACTTTTAAAAACCTCAAATGTTTTACTCTCTGTGGAGGTAATTTCTGCATTTCTAATATTTGAAATGATAGTAGAGGAGCTAAGACTAGCACTGTGTGCTCTGCCAAGATGTAACTGTGCTTGTCATGCAGAATACACTAATAAATCAGAATAGCTCCTGTAAATCTAGAGAAACAAAGAAGTTACCAATTCTGGAAATAAGTATTTTTTTACAGGAAATTGTTTACCTTCAGAATTTGATAATAATTCTCTAATTCCATTAAGCAAATTAACAATATTATTAGTGCTTTTTAAGAAAGAGATTTCTAGCGAAGTCTGCAAACTTTTTGATACAGCCTCTAGCTTAAAATTTAAGGAGATGTTAATGACAAGTATTCAAATATGTCTTTCTGTGGTGTATGTGACAAGCTTGACCTTAGTTCTCCACACAGTATATAAAAAGGTGCTTTTCCGCAGAAGAATTTTATATGTCTTAAAATTACCATGTAATTTAATCTAGAGATACAAGTTTAGATTTCCTTGATTGAACAGGAGAGCATACTTGGTTTAGTTTTATTATATTTCTTCTAATTTAAATTTTGTTTGGAAATGTGGATTATTTTTCAGTTTTGAAATTCCAGGATATCTTTCAACATCAGGAACTTGTATTTTCCACTGTGTTATGCCACTTGGTTCACTGAGTTTAGTGAGCTGACATTGGTGTTAAAACTGTGTAACAGCATGGGGAATCTGGTAATTGATTCCTTGTGTCTGAACTCTAAAAATCAACATGAGATTAAAATATCACAAACAAAATTATAAAAAATTAAGCAAGCAGTGGCAAAAATAGTCTAAAAGTTTGTGTACTGTAGGCTGCATTTACTGTTGCTTTTCTAGTATTTTTTGGTCACCCTGGAAGTGATGCAGCTCCCAGGTACCAGTTGTGCCCAGTTTCTGCATAGTCTCTGCTGAACCCTGGTGTAAGTGACCGAGAGCAAACTCTGTTTAACTGCCCATGCCCAGCTGGTGGGTGATCCTGTACTCTCATGCGTGGGCAAGAGGACCCATTCCAGCTATGAGAAAACCAGAATAAATCTGTAGGAATTGGGTCTATATTCCTGTATTAGGCTGGCTGGCAGGCACCCAGTTGGATTCCCATTTTGCAGTGACTTAATTTTACTGATTTCGGCTGTATTTATTCCAGATTTCTGTTTGGGGATGCAAGAGCCTAGATCCTCACGTGCAAAGGCCGTGCAAGGAGTCAACTGTAGGGATTGTCTGTGTGGGAAGATGACCCAGACCAATTTCTCCGAGCATATCATGATCTGGAATACCAGACATTTTAATTGCAGAAGATGAGTGAATTTCTAAAGAGAAGTGATTACTATAGAAGCAACTCATTTTTAATATGGAGCAAAGTGCACAGATGGGTAACTCCTGTGGAACTGCTTATCACAGAATGATATTCTAACCAATTTTTGTAAGTAGATGAACCCACAGGACAAAAGGCTTATTTCTTTTCCTTGACAGTTTTAACTGTATGAATGCCCTAATGAGAACAATATGGGCAAAAGTTAGTAAGAAGTGGACAGAAAACTGAAAGTATTGAGTATGTAACCAGAAAAGTTTAAAATGGTGACAAATTTTTAGCATTTCTGAAGAATTGTGACCCAAATGTGAAATATAAGTGGATTTAAAAAGCAGAATCAATCCTTCCTTATATTCATTATCTATTTTTTTCCTGACTACTAGGCTAATATCTGCTTGGCATTAATATATCAGAAGTCAGTGAGTTTTCAAGGAGAAAACATTTGGTATGGCAAACATTCAAATATGTAATCATAACTTTTAAGGTTAGGTAACTGTAATGCCTCTAAAATCCCAAAATTTCTCTTCATTTCTATGTAATATGAAATCTGTGATTGAGGAAAAGACTAAATCTTGGAATATAGAAGTATGCAGACTCCTTCATTCTACATGGAAAACCCAACACAAAAATTATTAATTTATATATTTAAAACATGTTAATACAATAAAATGTGTAAATCAAAAAAGTATATTCATGAAAGGAGCATTGTAACATGGAAATTACTGAAATTACCCAGATCACAGAGTATTATGCAGAAATTTTCAAGGAATCTTCTGTCTTGCAGTCGTGATGCAAGAAGAATGCACAGAAGAGCTCCACAGCAGCCAACGATGTGAGAGCAAACTGAATGAGCCTGCTGGACCCCTGGTCAAAAGAAGCAGAAAGACAGTGGTGACAGGAGGTGGGGGCTACCTGGGATACAACCTGGGATGTGCTCTCGTTAGGTCAGGAGTTGCTGTTGTTCTGTTCGATGTACAGAAACCTAAATGGGAAATTCCAAATGGAGCAGATTTTTTCAAGGTGCGTTGGACTTTTATACTTACAGCAGTGAAATAAAGTTCTGCTATTTTTATGCATATGACTGAGACTTCCCCTTAGGGATTTTTGATAAAAGTGTTTACTGAAAAGCCTTTAAGGACAGTAAGAAGTCATGGTACAAGATTCCCATACGCATAAATAACTGATTAAGAGATCACAGACAGTCCAAGTTGTCAGTTCTCCCAGTGTCACCAGTGGAGTTCTGGAGTCTTGTGTTGGGAGGTGCCGTTCAGCACGTTTTTAGCTCACCTAGGTGAAAGAGTCTACAATGAAGAGACAAAGTTTACTGCTCAGGGAAATTATTTTGAGTAAAAAGGTGAGAGCAAGACAGGGCAGTAAAAGTGATCACAAATGTAGAATGACTGCTGTGGAGAGAATGATTGAGGAAACAGAATTTTCCAGTCTGGGAAGGAGATGACTTGCGAGTGGGAGAGCTCTGCAAACTGTGAGGGGCATTGAGACAGACAGGGATTGACTGTTTGCTGTCCTCTCCAGGACAGGAAGGAGGGACTATCAGGTGAGAAATGAGGAGGAGTCAGTTCAGAGCAAACAGAGATTGTTTTTTCATGCAGTGGGTAAAAGACACATACAAAGTCTCACCAAAAATTTACTCTGATTGGAAATGACTAAATAAATAAGCTAAATTAGGCTCAAGAAATGTGCTGAATGAAAATATTTGGAGACCAGAAGAGTATTCTGGGTGAAAGTGTTGCAGGTTCTTTCCCTGTTCCTGCTCTTCCTGGGGCACCAGCTTGTGAGCACTGAGTCCTTTTGAGTCTTAAAAGTTCAAGGAATTTATTATGTCTGCAAAAGAGGGGGAACAAAAGAGACCTCAAATATTTAATAGCTCACAGTCTTCTATGGGGGACAGCATCCGCTACTACTTCCTCATGTGGGGAGCACCAGATCCTCACAGCTGCTTCACCCGCTCACCTTTGGAGCTGTGGGTGCACAGGGGTGCACTAGCACTTTGGTGCACGCTCTTGTCATCTTGTCATCACAAGTTCTGGCTAGATGTAGGGCACCATTCTGCTGAGCCTTTAGTGTAACAACGCTTTGACACTACTGCTAAAAAGATGACGGCAAAGCTGGAAGTGATGCCAGGATCTTTGTCCCAGGGGCCATCAAGGTGATGCCTGGCTACATCGCCATGGGTGGTAAGGGAGGCAGAGGGGATGTGTGGCACTGCTCTGGAGAGCTGTGTAGTGGTATACAAACATACAATGTAATATTCTAAGCAGAACGTAACATTTCATACTACATATATTGTGGGGGTATTTACAGTACAGTGTTCAGCAGTATATAGCAATTCACATAATATGACTATAATACACATATATCTATAATAGTATGTACTCTTTTGTTTTAATCTTGTACAAAACTGTAATTAAATTTATCATGCAGTGCACCTAAAATAAAGCTTAGATGGGCAAAGAGACATTTGTCCAGATTGCACAAGGCAAATCTTAAGGTCCTAAAAGAAGAGAGGTTCCCTTATTTGGTGATTCCATGGCAAAAAGTTGAGCCCTTCCTGATGTGATTTATTGTCCCTGGGGCTTCATTCTCCAGCCCTCAAGCATCTGCTGCTCCCATTCAAGTCAAACAAGTTTTGTCAGCCTGCAGGACTAAGTGTGAAAATACGCATTATAATTGAAGCCAACCCAGTCATATTTGTTTTGCAACAAAAAACTGACAAGAGTTCTTAGTCATGGATTTTACTCTATGCTTATGTGTTGTTGTTTTTTTTAATGCTAGTTAAGTATTGTGAAAAATAGGGATTACTTTAGATTTTCTTTAATTACCATAGCTCATGCTAATTGTGCAGAGAATGTGATAAGCTTTACCAGTCAAAAATCCATTCTTTACTCATTTCACAGGGTGATGTGAGAGATTACGATGCTGTGTTCAAAGCATGTGAAGGGGTTGACTGTGTTTTTCATGTGGCTGCATGTGGAATGTCAGGATTAGAACAAGCAAGTACAATTTTCCTAACATTTTCTTTTGTTATTCTTCTGAAAGCAAGTATTTGTCTACATAGAGCAAAGAATGTAATTATTTGATATTTATGTCAGACAGAAGCTAGTTAAGAAGGGCAAGTCATCCATACAGGCAACTAATCAATGTCAAAACATGAAACTAATGCACTACACAAAATGCTTTAGAAAAATGAGATGACAGATTTAAGATCTTGGATAAGAAAGCATTTCCTTTTTCTTTTATCTGAAGAAGTGACAATATTGCTCTGCAATTTCTGTTTCTTTATCATGAATTATCTGGGGTGTAACAAAAAATTGGTGCATGGTAATTTCCCTTCAGATGCATTTCATCTTTCACTTTTCAACCTTTTGTTACTCAGTGTATGAATAAATAATCAAAATGGGAACTGCTAGAAATCACTGTGTATCAGGACGGAGAACTGTACCATATACAGCAGACAAAGGCCACAGCCGTTCTAGATGTGGCATTTGTAACAATCGTGTTGTGAATGTGACTTGTTCGATTAATTGGATATTGTGTAAATTCTTATTTTTAGCTTCAAAAGAAAGATCAGATTGAATCCATAAATGTTGGAGGCACAAAAATAATAATTGATGGTAAGTGCCTAAATTTTCTTTCTTTGTGTCTGATCCAAACTATGAATTAGAAAACACCTTCTAATTGGTAGATTTGCCACTGGTTTGAATTGGGGATCAGTTTTCAACTTGCATTTAATTCGTTGTCAGACCAACTAAAACTCCTCTCTGTGTACTGGTTATTTTTTCCTGTTACTCCATATACTGGAGAAGTGTTATCCTCTTTCCTCGCAGAAATAATATAGAGATACTGTACTGTTTGTTGTGTTGTAAACATTTGGTAACAGGAGCCATACATGTGCTATAAGTATATTTAACTATGATTTTATCACATTAATATTTAAAATTTTCTATAATTTCCGATTGTATGTCTAAATTTGATCCCTTTTTTATAATATACTGATTTTAACTACTGTCTCTTGAAAATACTGGTAGATTTCATTCTGTATATTCAACTCCAGATAGAACATTTCAGTGTTTCATAAATATCAAAGCTCCTTTCTCTTTGCTTTCCCCTCAAAAACCAAATGGCAAAAAACTAAGAAAGCAAAACCGCAAAGGTAGTTTTTGTTTAGAGCCATTTTCAGTGAAATGGTACGCAAGTAAAATTCTCAGTGAGCTAGCGGGAAGAGGTTGCTGCATATTCCTGTCTTCTTACTCCAAACTCTGAACCCACAGAAACGTGTCATGTCAAATTTCCGTAGGCTCCCAACAAAGCAAGAATCTGGGAGGAGCATGAACCTATTAATCTACATTTTAATAATAGATTTTATTATTGTATTTTGTTCCCAATATTTACAAGACTGTAATTACATTCTTTCTTTTCAAAGTGAGCCCATGAGCCAACTGGGCTAACTGCTCTGTAGATTCTAAAAATTCCTGACTTTGAGTATTAGTTCACTTTAACTTTGGAAGTATTGTTAAATCAAATGGAAATTTATGTTATTCTAGTTTGTCATGACATATATGCAGCAGAATTGAAACATGATATCTTAACACCTGCCTGGAATCCATAATTAAGACTTTGTTTTGTAAATAGCATTAATTTAATCTGTATTTCAGGTACTACTGATTACACGCTAACAGCGTATGCTTCTTGCTAATGTGTCATTTGTCCCTTAGGAACAGATTGACACAAATGCAGTTTGTCTCACGCTGGGAAGAAGGAGCACATTTTCTTATGTGACCTTACTTAGCCGCACAGGCACCCTTGAAACTAATTCCTCTCTCCAGCTGATAGCTGCAGTCCGGGGGTGCTATGATAGTTGCACACACCTAATCATAAAATATTTGGTGACGCAATATGTAATATTTACATAGCAGATATTTGGGATGAAACATTCCAGCTGAATGAAAGATAGTATTATATTAAATGATAAGTTAATGTTAAAATTAAAATCCTACTTCTTCTATAAACTTAGTGTTTGTTTTCAAAAGGAGAAGCTACCAGTTCATGTGTTGTTTCTCTCTCTTTATTTTTGTTTTAAATTAATTTATTTTGTATACCATTGTAGTCTGCAAACAAAGAAATATCCCTAGACTGATATATACCAGCACAGTGAATGTGGTGTTTGGAGGGAATCCCATTGAAGAAGGCGATGAAGAAACTGTGCCTTATTTTCCACTGGAAAAGGTACTTTGTTCATGTGATGGCACAGCATTTACTGTGCTCTGAAGGATAGATTATGTGAAGGCTGTTCTGAGATCAGAAGCTGTTGTACTACAGATCACATCAAATTCCATGAAATTATTTTCTCATTAATAAAAATTGACCAATTGACCAATGAAGAAATATTCAAATAATAGTGGCTTTAGTCTGCTGTAACTAGACAGGCAGGAGTTGATAAAATACCTACAAATTGCTAAGAAAAGTGGAATGTGACCTTTTAACAAGAATATTTTCAGAGAAAGGGCTTTCAGGAGGCTGGTTAGCTCAGTCAGTTGAGCATAGCACTAACAATGCTAAGGTCTTGGGTTCGATTCCCCTTCACTCCCCATGTGTTGCCTGATCTAGTCGAGAGGTGACATCCCTGGCAACAGGGAGGCTGGATTAAAGTGATCTCTAACTAAGGTTCCCAGCTTAGGCCATTCTATGATTCTATGATCCCATATGCAGCTACTGAATACTGCGACCCCTGTGAGCCTTTGCGTTGAAGGATGTTGTTAAATACCAAATTCTATGTCTTTATCACACACATTTTTGCTTCTTGGAAGTTCCCAAACCTTCCTTTCTTGCTGCAGGCCATACAGTAGTTCAGCTGCTCTGAAATACTATTTCCTTCTTTGCAGTGATAATTTCGGAAGTATTTTCTAGCTGAAATCTGAAGCTCAATACATTCTGGAAAAAACCACTTGTTCTTCCCCGCTCCCAGCACACTGCCTGCAGTTAAAAGCTGTTTTTTAGAATGTACATCCTGTGCCCAGGATTCCTAAACAGGACTGACTGCTCCTCTGTTGGTGCCCTCTGAGTTACTCGGTTGGGTGTGTGGGTTTGTGCACGGCACCTCCGACTGCTGGTAAAGCATCTCAGGAATTTGCAATTAGCTGCAAGTGTCTGAGCCCTAATCATACGTTTTATTAGTGGTGATTGTGTAAGAGGAAGAGGACTGTGCAGAGGAAGGTGGAGCAGGGAGGCAGGTGGAGAAGGTGGATTAAGCCTCGTTAAAGTAGAAAATAATTTCCATGGTGGGATTTTTAGGTATATGGCACTGAAAAATTCAACAGGTACTTAAGTAGCTTTGTGTGGTCAAGTATTCACTAAGCCAGCATGTGCTGTGTCCACAATCCTATTGTTTAAATATACGTGTGCAATTTTTAGAGTTAATAGTGTAAGATACAACTGGGGGAGACATATTTATAACTTGCCAAATAGCTTCAATAAGAAATTGGAATATTTTTAGGAAAGTCTGAATTTTTAATTCCGTATTTAACTTACTGTTTTAAAAAACTTTTTCTGATTCAAAATGGATGTTTTTTCCAAATAAATTTGTCTGGCTCACCAGAACATTTGCCTTATTATTAATTTTTTCAGTACATCCAGCACAAAAAGTGAGTTAAGTAAATACTAGTGGACTTAAATTCATTCTAAAGCTAAACTTGTGCAAGTAAAATATGTCTGGTAAGTTTCTTTGTCATAAAGTATATATTTGCTCTATCTTCTTGTTATTTTTAGTTTAGATTTAAATGTTGCCAGACATAAACAGTAAGTTTGCCTTTACAGATGCAATAATGTGATTAAAATGTTGATCATATTCTGTTTTTCTTTACAGCAATTTAATCATTACTCTAGAACAAAGGCAATTGCTGACCAAATGATTCTTGCTGCTAATGGAACTTTACTCAAAGGTACATGTAAAATATTTTCCTGTCATTAGTAGTGCTAATTGGTATTCTGTTCTCCCAATATTCATTTATCAATAAATAGTATACTTTAAATTAACTAAAATAAGGACTTTGTTTGCTTCTACTCTTCCCTTCAGTCGATGACTAAATTTTTATGTGCGCAACCAGAGAGATATTAGTTTATATGCAAATAATAGATGGGAGAATTCAGAAAACTTAACCTTATATCGTCAAGTCTTCTTAAAAGCTTACCAATCTTACAGCAGAGACAGGATTTGTGGCTTTATTCCTCATTCAGTCTATCACTTCGAGCTTCTCTGATAATAACAGTCACGAAGCACTGTCCAGTAGGTCCTTCTTACAATCCCCAAAGGCTTGCAGCTCTCTGGCAAGAAAAATTGCAGTTTCTTAAACAGATTGGCAATATCAGGGTCATGTTAACTTTCCAAGTCAAATGTGCATGAATAGCTGTGGCTAAAAATCCATCTGTATGTGGCAAGGGAAATATTTCTTTGCTTTTACATGCGTATTTTTCTTTTCTTACTGATCTCTCTCAACTGAAAAGTTGGCAAGCATAGATTAGGTGGGGATTCAATGTTAGCATCCTTGATTAACTGCTGAGCCAATGCCTGACACTTGTTACACTTGCCAACATAAAAGGTGAGCTTGTGCCTCTTCTCAGGAGTCAGAGGGATCTGCTTACTGATTCACATGTACAGCTTGAAGTATTCATTTAAAGCATTTAACTAATTTGAAAGGCTCTGTTTAAAAGACGTCTTCCATTCCTTTGTGATGCCATTGAGCTGCAAGCAAGCAAGGTGTACAAATATAGCAAATTGAATGGTCTGCTTCCAGTATTGCAAGCATCTGCAATAATGGGCATATATGCATATTATCAACTTGTATCTATAATAAATAGCCAAAGGCAATCAAGTAGTACGTTATCAGCTTGTATCTATAATAAATACAAAAGGCAATCAAGTAGTATGTTATCAGCTTGTATCTATAATAAATACAAAAGGCAATCAAGTAGGAGGCGTATCTATAGGAAAGTGTGATTTGTCCTGTTCCTATTCAAATTCTTCTGTGGTTGGAGGGATTCAGTTTCTCAGGCTGCTAATACTCAGGTCTTTCACTACCATTGAATTCAATTTTATACAGAAATTAAAACAGTTATTAAGCTGAATCACATAAAGGATCAGTCTGACTGTTCTACTTTCACAATGTGAAATTCAGACAATATATGTCAGCTGTATGTTGATATCAAAGCTATCCGAAAATCACATTTTATTCTCTCTCCCAGGAGGGGATAAGCTCCATACTTGTGTGCTCCGTCCACCAGGCATATATGGACCAGAAGAGCCACGACACCTGCCACGAATAGCTGTATGTGTTATGTAGTCAGCTCTGGAGGACACTACAAGTAGTTGTAAGGGCATACGACAAGTGGAAGTATCTTGATTACAGTTCTGAAAGCTTGGTGACAGGTCATATGATGCAAGATAACAACTAGCATGATACGAGCATTGTAGAAATAGCAAGGATCAAGCTGTACTTTTAAGTGAAAAGAAAAAATGCAGGGCTGAAATGCCATGGTAGAAGAACTAGGTTTACATCCCTGATTGTTTAAAGGAAATATTGTCTTTTAGATACGCATTTTAGTTTCAGCCAGACACTATAATGTCACCATATTTTACCACTGTGTATCAGTGCAACAGTCCTTGATTTATAAAACCACCAACTAGTTGTCGGTTGGTGTTTGGGGTTTTTTTATTGTGACACATTTCTCGTGCTGTAATTGTACACAGATACAGCAAATTCTAAGTATTCAGGCTGAGCCAAAATGAATGCCTTATACTGCATAATAAAAGAAATAGCACGGTTATTTCATGTTTTCTGTTTCTACAGGTAAATATCCAGCGGAGGCTGTTAAACTTCAAGATTGGGAATCACAAAGTTCAGATGAACTGGGTTCACATAGGAAATCTAGTACAAGCTCACTTACTAGCTGCTGAAGCTCTCACCTCTGAGAAGGGTTATGTAGCTGTAAGTAAACAATATAAACTTTGCATCCCCATAGCTTTAATGCTCAGATAGGTTTAATTTGTGATGTTTTGAGATGAAAGATTCTCCAAAAGGTCATGGGCTAAATTCTCAAAAATGGTATGTGGCTTCACAAGCACATAGACAGTGCAAATGCAAACATATTCTGCTAATATTTTGATGATGATTTTTTTGTGGTTTAAATATATATTGTTTCCTGTTTGATTGGAGGATTTAATCAGATTAATATATTCACCTTCATACAAATCCAGTACATTATGTTACTCTTTTGAAAGTAGATCCTGATTCTAGATACATAAAATTTAGAGCAACCATTCCAAGGAATTCCAGTTTAATTTTCAGACTTGAAAATTCCAAGAAGAGATATACAAAATTAATGGACAATTTAAAAAAGCTTTTCTTTTTCTTACACTGGTTCTAATTGCAACAACAATCTGAGGGCTGTGAAGCATTGACAGAACTGCTGCAGCAGTTGCTACATTCACGGCTCCTGAGGGCTCCGGCTTCATTTATATTGGTAGGAACATAGAGACAGCAGGTACAGATATGTCGGAACATTTCTGCATGTGCTGTCAACTAGATAAGTGCTTGGAAGTCATGCAGCTGGTTTGAAATGACAAAATGCCCAAACTGCCAGGGACTGTGTGGGTGCTCAGGTGTTCATAAAGCTCACAGCGGGATCAGCTCCTCATCTGGAGCATAGCTGTCAAGGAACTATTGCCTGCACTTCTGGAAGGCTGGAAGAAGATAGACTGGAAACCAGAAGTGGATTCAGGCACTGTCACGTCCAACAGAATGCATACAGTGAATTTGTTTTAATCAGAAAATTGGTCACAGTTGGAACTTGGCCACAAAAAGCTGTGTTTGTTAAATGCTGTCAGTGTTGCCGCTTCTGTTGGACTTGTGAAGACAACTCTGTCCCCTGCACATCGTGAGGAACTTAATGCTCTCACAGTTAGGTTACTACATAGTGAAATCGAGCTCTGACCTACATTACACCCTGGTTAATCATGATCA